CGGCGCCCCGGGAGCGGCGCGCGGAGGGAGGAGGGCGGGCGGGCGCGGCGGGCCGGGCCGGCGGGCGGCGGACTATGAGGCGCCCACCATGGTGCGATGCGACCGCGGGCTGCAGATGCTGCTGACCACGGCCGGAGCCTTCGCCGCCTTCTCGCTCATGGCCATCGCCATCGGCACCGACTACTGGCTGTACTCCAGCGCGCACATCTGCAACGGCACCAACCTGACCATGGACGACGGGCCCCCGCCCCGCCGCGCCCGCGGCGACCTCACCCACTCGGGGCTGTGGCGGGTGTGCTGCATCGAAGGTATGGCCGGCCCCGACCCTCCCCCCGACACACACACACGCACAGCCCGGGCCGCGGGCCGGGGAGGGGGTGGGCGCAGCGCCGGCTCCGCGCGAGACACAAAGAGCCGGAGCGGGCGGGCGGGTCCCCTAGCAGCCAGCTGTGCACCAACTCGCGTCCCTCCCGGTTGGGGACCTCCCCGACACACCGATCCCACAAACTCTCCACTCGCACACGCACACCCCCTCGCCCACAGACACAATGAAACACACCGAAACTCACGCGCGCGCGCGTAGCCCGGGACCCGAGAGATCCCCAGGGGCCGCGCCGGCGCCCCCGGGGGAGGTGGAGGCTGGTGAGGGGGCGGGAGGAGGCTGGGGTTTGGGGGGAGCGGACCCGAGAGGAGGGGAGGGAGGAGGGGGAGGGGTTGCTTGGCAACCGGTGTCTGTGCGATTGCTATGGGAACTGGCCATCCTGGGGCGGGGCCGGCCGGGGGCGGGGCGCGCCCGGGCCGCTCGGCGCTCGATCCGGGCCCGGCCCAGGGCTGGGGGCGGGGGTGGGGGCTCCGCTCGAAGGGGTTTGGGGGGAGCCGGGTCGCCCCAGTCCGACGCCCGCCTCTTCTTCCTCGGGGTCACCGGCCCCTCCCCCCGGCGCAGTGGGGGACAGGCGAGGGGAGCGACCCCGAGTCTCCCCCAGCTGAGGCGGCGAGCCCTCGGTCGCGGCCCCTGGGCAGGGAAGCGGCGGAGACCTTAACTGGACACTGGGGTGCGGGGGGCTAGCTGAGGACTGGGAACGGCCTGGGAGGGGCGTGGTCGCCCGTCGGGGCGGGGCGCTGCGACCCCCAGATGCGCCCTGAGGCCGAGCAGGAGGTGCGGTAAGGTTGGGTTGCCTCTGCCGCCCGGATTGGGTACCCCACTGTTGGCTTCTTCGCGGGAGGGGCCCGGACGCCTCCAACGCGGGGATGCGCTCGGCTTCAGCGCCTTCCGGGCGCCCTCCCGCCCAGCTGCGGAACTTGAACTAACAGGTGGCTGTGGAGGGGCCGTCTGGTCGCGGCCAGGTCGTGCTGCTTGGTCTTGGCTCTCAGACTGGGGACCGGGTGGTGGGAGTTGGTGGAGTGACCCTTCGATTTTTCAAGAATCCTTGGACAGAATTTCCTCTCTTTCTGTTACCTTTTCCCGTGTGTTAACTCCGCCCCGCAGTTCTCGGGGAAGTTCCTTCTCATACCTAGCCTTCCCACTGCAGCTGCAGCTCCTGCAGATCCTTCAGCGTGGTTGGATCCGGGTGGAGGTTGTAGGGAGCTCTTTAAACGATAGCCCTTTTCTGGTCCCATTTGGAGTCATCTGAAAAGAGGCTTTGTGAAGCTGGGTCTGCTTGGTGAAGTCGGACGTCCCCCTTCCCCCGCCTCCAGACCACACTCATTCTTGTGGGGAACCTTGCTCACCCCCGGCTCCCACGCCCACTCCCAAACGGGGCTGCTTTGCCCTTTGCAACCTGGAGCTTAATGCCAGGGCTCAGTGGAGTCTTCAGGTAACAGAAATGGCAATCAGTAGTTGGGGAAACTGTCACACAAAGGAGCCGGTGGGCCCACGATCACACCCTCCTGTTTTCTTTTGAGAAACATCATTTCGGGTGTGCGATTGCTCTGATCACGAACACCCACTCCTCTTCTCTGGAGAATGTACCCACGTCACTACCCGCCACAGCACCTGAGTTGGATACAGAGCATGGGCTGCAATGCCCCCGTGTTCTGCCTCACAAGCTCCACTGCGTGCCAGCTGCCCAGTGCAATCAGTCATGCCACCGGTGCCACCCGAAGGCACACGTGGACCTGGGGCCTTCCAGTTTCCCAGGGGAAATTGGAACTAACTCCTCTACTCCGGCAAGCCTGGCCTCTTTATTAATTCTTCATCCTAATTAGGATTAATGCTGCACTTAGCATCTTGCCAGCTGCCTCGAGCCGTTTGCACTCCGGTGTTCATCAAGAGAGCCCCAGGCTGATCTGGGCAGCTGGCTCCGCTGGCTGAGCGAGCCATCTGGGGGACCTCACAGAGCGAACTGGGCTGCCTCTGTCTCATTTCCCAAAGCTCAGGGGTTCTGAGGGGCAAACCAGGCCACATCTGAGGGCCAGAACATCCTTGTAGGACCCAGGGCTGGCAGAGCTGGTTCAAGGTTCCTTGTTATGGTTAGAATCATTGTGATAGTCCCTCAGCCTGGGTGGGAACTGCCTGTTTATCTCATAAAAGCACATCCGGAAAGCAGCAGCTCTCAGCTGTCTGATACCGCCTACGATGCTTCCACCTGCCAGCAAGTGGCCAGGGCTGAGACCCGGACTGCACTGTGACCCCAGTTCCTTCCTGGGGGCGTGGAGGAAGGGTTACCTCCGTGTTGACTTTTGTGTGTAAAATACATTATTTCCACCTGCTCTCTTACGCCGTACCCCAAAACATTATGTCCAAACCAAAATGGGAAAAAAAAGATAAAGAAAAAGAGCTGAGCTGAAACTGAGCAAATACTGCAGCAGGCAGCTAATAAAACTCTGGATGCAACAGCAGAACCCTGAAGGTCTGCTGGCAACTCGAAAACAGCGGATTCAGTTTCCTGGTTGTTTCCCATAAATGATGCCGGGCCAGGAGAGCCCAGCCCTCGCTGTACTTGGGGCACCCATGCAGACTGCTGCTCCCAGCTTCTCCAGGGCTGACCCTGCCTCAGCCTCTCTCTCGCCCCCAGAGCTGCGTCTCCCCTGCTACCCACCCCTCGCTTGGAAAGTGTCAAAATACTCAAGTGTGCAGAGCCTTGTGCATGTTACCACGTGGCATGCCCACGACAGCCCTGTGAGGGCGCTGACTTCACCCCCATCTGCAGATGAGGGAACGAGGTGCAGAGAGGTTCAGGGACTTGCCCAGAGACACCCAGGTAGGGGGCAGCCAGGCCAGATTTGAGCCTTTGTCTCACTACAAAGCTCTTCCCACCATATCATCCTGCCTTTTCCCAAACAGCTTCTGGGTTGCCATTAAAAATAGAACCAAGTACTTGACTACCCGGTGGAGCTCAGCTCTGAGGTCGGGCTGGTGGCGGCATGAAGGCATTTAGAAGTGGGAACGCACAACTGATACACAAATTGCATAACACACTCTTCTGTTCTCTCTTTCTGCTTTGTCTGTGTCTCTCTCTTTCTCTCAATCTTTGTCTCTCGATCTCTCTGTGCCTGTCTGCCTGTCTCTGTCTCTTTTTCTTCTCTCTTTCCACGGAGTCCTGCACTGGCCTGTCCCTGCTACAATAGCTCATCTGCCCCCTGCCCCATCTCCCTGAGACCCTCACCTCCTTCTTTGTATCTTTGGTGACACCCAGCAGGGTTGGGGACAGAGGAAAGGGGTAATAAATCCTTTTGCAATCAAAGGCATCATCGACCAACGTTCGTTCAGTCTCTAATGCATTTTGGAGTTGGGCAGGTATAGCACGTGAACAAACTGTGTGCCGGGGACGGGAGACCCTGTGTAGACACGGAGAGGAAAAGGAGACTCAGCCCAAAGGGCAGCAACTCGTGACCACATTCCAAGGCCCCAACACCCACCGCTAATTCTGGAGCACTCGCTGGGACTTCGGGTCACTGTGCTTCCATTGGGAGGGCTCTGGGCCCAGAGCAGACGGTCCGGGCAAGGCTTGGCCTCAGCAGTGCCCCTCCACTCCCATGTCCCCCATGTCACCTACGGATGGAGCCGCCTGCAACACCCTCACAGCTCTGCCAGAGTATTAAGAGGGCAGCCTCGATGCCAGGGGTGTCCCCTGTGCCTACTCTGTGCCAGCTCTGTGCTGGGCATTGCAGGGGAAGGTACAAAGAAGGTTCTGGAACCTGAGAGTGAGAGAGTCTGTTGCCCCCATCATGTTCACCTTCTTCACCTGGGCAGCACCCTGCACACCAGTGTACCCAACCTTTATTCACACCATGTCACTTAGAGGAAAAGAAAATCTTAGCACTGTACCCTAGGGGAGTGGGAGGGGAGGACAGCCCTGGCCGTCTCCCCGAGGGGCTCTAGCTGCCCCAGGCCCTGCCCAGGTGCTCACAGGTGGGAGGCTCACTCTTCCAGCACACCTAGAACTCTCGAGGTAGGTCAGCCGGGAAGCTCTGCCTTAAACCACATGCCCAACATGGGACCATTCAGGGAGGTTTGATCTACTGGCCTTTCTCCACCCACTCCAGACCTGGCCCTGGGCCGGAAACTCTTCCTATCCGTGTTCGCTTTCATTTTCTCTCACAGTGACCCATATGCAGCCTGTTCATTCAGGCCCAAGTGGGTGACAGCCACCAGAACCGGACTCTGTCTCCGCTGCACTGAGGGCCACCAGCTAGTAACTTCCCCTTCAGGCCCTCCTTTGCCCCCGGTGTTAATACAAACAGCCATCACTTATTGAAGACCTTCACGCAAGCCTCACATGAGTTCATGTAACTGCCAAACAACGCTTCAAGGTAAATATTAATTATCTGCCTTTCATCGGTGTAGAAGATGAGGATTAAGACGTCCACAGCTCCTGAGCATTGACTTCTGCCGTCTGGGTCCACAGCTGACGTTGACTGTAGGAGCTCTGTTTTCCGCTGCTCAGGGGACATTCTTTATCTCCATCCTTTTTTCACATGGATTTGGGAAGGGGCAGGTAAGGGGGGGTTGATATAGTCAGCGCAGGCTGACGCAATAAAGCATGGCAGACTGGGCGGCTCAAACAGCAGGTACACACTGCTCGCAGTTCTGGGGCCGGGAAGTCCGAGAGCAAGGCGCTGGCTGATTCGGTTCCTGGTGAGGGCTCTGTTCCTTGCTCGCAGCTGGTTGCCTTCTCGCCGCGTGCTCACGCTGGAAAGAGAGGGAGCTGGCTCTTGGTCTCTTCTTATAAGGACACTAACCCAATCATGAGGACCCTGCTACCCTCACAACCTCATCTAACCCTAATTACCTCCCAGAGTCCTGTCTCTGAATACCATTGTTCACATTGAGGACTAGGTCTTCCATATAGGAATTCGAGGGGATACA